CCTCGCAGCCTTTCCCTAGCCCCTGACCCCGCGCTGCTCTCCTGGCAGGGGCCGCAGCTCCGGCGCCCGTCCCGCCGCCGGCCCAGCATCTGTTCGGCGACCCGGCTGAGACCGAGGCGCTGCGCGGGAACCTGCTCGCTTGGTACGACAGATGCAAGAGGGACCTTCCCTGGAGGAGACTGGTAAGCGCGGGCATCGGGAGGCAGGGGTGTCATACTGCGGAACCAGCCCCTCTGCCTTGAGGGAGCGTTGCTGAGGAGACCACAGCGTCTTTCCATGTGCTGCATGGATGTGGAAGCCAGTGTTGGAAACGGGAGCCTGCTCCCAGGCAGTCCTGTGGCAGGGGGGGTGTAGGCACCCACCTGTGGCAGGTGGTCTGTAGCCAGCCACTAGATATGAAGAGTAAAGCAAGCCACAGAGCGAGACCATACTTCTCAAACGTAACCTCTAACCAGGTAAATTTCTCACAAAAAAAAAAAGTAACCAGGTTACTTTTCTCTGGTAAATTTAGTTGTGTTTTAAAATTGTTTTGTTCTTGCCTCCATGGTACCTTGTATGGAAAAGGTTTTCTATGTGTTTGCTTTAATCCTGACGAGCATTTTTATTAAAGCTGTTACCTGCTCTGTGTCAGCCTGGCAACAAGTGGCTGGACAATGATTGGAGTGTTGGGGGTAGGCATCACCTTTACAGCACCATCTCTCTGAAGGGTGCTGGGAACTTCACACCCCTTCTGTGGGCATTACATCTTCTTGCAATAGCTTCCTGTGGGACCTTTGACCCTCTAAGGTTGACTCTTGCTGTGGCAGATATGTGACATCCCTCAGGCTTTGTCACTTGGTTAACCCAAACTCAGAACTTCTGGGTGCTTAGGGGAGGGTTTTGTTTTTTTTTTGTAGGTTCCTACATGGTGTTCAAAACAAACCCATAAGCAATCTTATTTTATATGCAGGTTCTCTCTGTGACGGGGTCTTGTGTCACCTTGTTTCTCACACTCCATCTTCTTCACCTTTCAGGCAGCAGCTGAGCCAGATGCCAACAGACGAGCGTATGCAGGTGAGGAGCAGGGACTGGGCCTTGGCACGTGGGGTGCACTGCTGCCTGTTGCCCCTGACATGGATGTGCAACGTGTCCTTGTGAAGAAACGTGGCCTCAGTTGCCATCCTTGGAACAAGCTGCCTGGAGTGGCCATGAGAGCTCCAGACCCTCCTTTGCAAGGCGAGGGGGTCAGAGAGGCCACTTTGGGCCTGAAGGAGCTCCTGTGGGGCAGCATGTGGGGAAGCTGAGAGGTGGGAAGGGATCCTGTGGATGGGATGCTGGTGTAGTGCTTGTAGACAGTGCTAATGTGGCCATGACGTGAGATGTGAGTGGCCCTGGTGCCTTTGCTCTGACCCCTGCCCTGTTCCCTGCAGTATGGGTGTCTGAGGTCATGCTCCAGCAGACACAGGTGGCTACAGTGATCAACTACTACAACCGCTGGATGCAGGTAGCTGCTCCTCATGGAGTCTTGTGCCCATAGGCTGCCCCTTTTGGAGACCTTGTCTGCTGCTTGTGGTAGATCCCCAGCTGCAGAGCATGGCTCTGCTTTTCCCTGACTTGTTCCCTTCTCTCTGTACCACAGAAGTGGCCGACGCTGCAGGCTCTGGCACAAGCATCCCTGGAAGTGAGTGTTGCTGGGACTGGGTGCTCTCCCTGCCCTCGTGGCTCCTCATCTAACACCATGTTGCATCTCCTGGAGCAGGAGGTGAATGAGCTGTGGGCTGGACTTGGCTACTACTCGAGAGGAAAGCGTCTGCAAGAGGCAGCAAGGAAGGTGCCCTGGTGCTGGGGTTGGGGAGCATTTCCAGAGCCCTCTGCAGCCCATGGGTTGGTGCTGGCTCACATCTGCCCTATCTCACTGCAGCTGTGTGCTGCTGGCATAAGGCTGCAGAGGCTGGGATCCCGTCTTACCGTGAGTAAAATGGGCTGTACATGTGCACCCCAGCTGCTCCCCTGACCTCAGCCTGCTCTCTGCAAGGTGGTGTCCGAGCTGGCCGGCCAGATGCCCAGGACAGCCGAGGACCTGCAGAAGCTGCTGCCAGGAGTGGGCCGATACACGGCAGGAGCCATCGCGTCCATCTCGTATGGGCAGGTGAGAGCTGGGCATCAGTAGACACGTCCCCCTCTCTGCCACCCAGTTCTGCTCCTGGTGGGGTCCTGCTTCTGGGTTCACAAACCAGGGGCTTCCCAGGGCTGTGCTAGGCTCTGTCTCTCCCAGCTTTATGAGGCATCTCACCCACTGCCCAGCTCCCCTTTGTGGGATGGCCTCACATGTGTCTCCCCTCCATCCTGGGAGCACCCAGCTCCCTGCCTTGCTGGGAGCACGGGCACCTCCTGGGGCGGTGACCCCAGCTCCTGGTCCCAGGCTACCGGCGTCGTGGACGGGAACGTGATCCGGGTCCTGTGCCGCCTGCGGTGCATCGGCGCCGACTCCAGCAGCCCGGCTGTCCTTGAGCAGCTCTGGTAAGAGGAACCCTCCATCCCTGCTCCAGCCTGTGGCAGCCATGGCTGTGCTTGTGGGCAGCTGAGGGCAGGATCACTGCAAAGGCAGAGAGGTGTAGGGGCAGGAGCACTTGGGAAGCTGGTGCTGCTGGGAGTGGTGGATAAAGGAGCTCTGTTGCCTCTGCCTACCTAGGAACATCCCCCTCACAGGCAGGAGGTGGGCAGAGGTCCTGGGGCCCTCTCCCCTATGCTGTTCACTGTCATTTCTCCCAGGGACATGGCCAATGCCTTGGTAGACAGGAGTCGCCCAGGGGATTTTAACCAAGCCCTGATGGAACTGGGGGCAACTGTGTGCGTGCCCAAGGCTCCGCTGTGTGAGGAGTGCCCTGTGAAGCAGCACTGCCGAGCACGCCGCAGGGTAAATATGACCCCGAAATCTGGCCCCAAGGGGTTGCTGTGCATGGGGACATGGTGGGCTGGTAGGTGAGCCTGTCTTCAGCCCTGTTTCCCCTTGCAGGTGGAGAAGGAGCTGGCTTTTGCCTCTCGGAAGCTCCTTGGAAAAGCTACCCCAGTGCCTGATGTAGAGGACTGCAGTAAGCATGTGGGGAAGGATCCCTGAAATAACTCTGGGTCTGGGCCCCGTGGCAACTCTTGCATTGATGTTTGCAGGTGTCGTGGGCTGCCCCCTGTGCCCCCCAGCTGCAGAGCCGTGGGACAGCAGCCTGGGGGTGACCAACTTCCCCCGGCAAGCACGAAATTTTTTTTAACAGCCACGTGTGTGCTGGAACGGAGGGGCTGCCACGGGGCCCCGGAGTACCTCATCGTGCAGAGACCCAGCTCAGGTAATGGGGCTGGGTGGGAGGGTGGCAAAGGCACCACACAGCCCTTTCCCACCTGTGTGAGGGACAGAGTGGCCTGGGAGAGGGGGTGCACCACTGATACGCTTGCTGCTGGGGTGGGGAGAGGAGCCCCTTGGGGCTGCTTGGAGGCTTAGGGTCCCCAGATGTGCCCCTTGCCAGCTCACATCCCCTTACTGCCCCCTCCCCAGGTCTCCTGGCTGGGCTCTGGGAGTTCCCAAGTCTCCCACTGGCTCAGGATATGCAGGAGGAGAAGCAGAGAGAGCTGCTGGCAGATCGTCTTCAGGCCTGGACGGGGTGGCCTGTGGCAACTGGAGGCCTGCGGCTGGTTGGAGA